GCTTTTCATAGAGAGAATCAATTCTTATAGGACAGAGGTAATATCTGTTTCCTTAAGTTAAACTCCTGTGTCTCCTTGTTATTTTTAAATGTTTTATTTTCTGATTATAAATAATATTCCTCTAAACCTAGCTCATATTTTGTTATCAATTGCAACCTTTTTTTTTTAACATTTTGCTACAGAAAATAAATGTTTATACACATAGACATTACTATTTATTTATGTTAAGAGTCAGTAGGTATGCTTGTTAGAAAGTTGTGAGAAATGGTTCTCCTTGTTGCCTCAAAAGAGATAAACAATACCAATTCTAAGACATGAAACAGTCTCTCTGTGTATCTCCAAACTTTTAAATAATTTCTGACTGTGGTAAAAGTGAATTTACCTGAGGACTTTTGGTGTGATCATACATAACAACTGTATTTTTTGAGAGTACCATGCTTCTACTTTCTAAAATAACTCATTAGAAAAGAACATACCAAAATGGATACTTATATATACTTTTAAATTGCATCTATAAAAAATAAATATATATGTACCTATTACAAAGATCCATTTTACTTAGTTAAAACCAGTGGAAGCAATAGTTACAAAATGTTAAAACCTTTATTTTTTGCATATCAACATGTTCTTATATTGTGTCTTTAAAAAAGGAAATACAGAAAAATAAGTGAATCAAACTGAGTAGACTCCTTGTGATATGCATGTTGTACACATAATCACCCATTCTTTAAAATGAAATTTCCATATTTGCCCAATTCCTTTGAAATTATAACTCCCCTGGATATCTAAGAAAACATGAAAACTATTATGCAAAATTTTGTTCCTTACTTATTTAAAAAGATAATAGAAGCCATTCACCATTTCTTAGAGTATATCTCAATTATGTATTTCTTTGATTTTGCCTTTTCCTCTGGTTCTTTCTATAGCTAAGTCAATTGAATTTATTTCAGTATTAGCAATTCTACTTCAATAGAGAGTAAAATAGGCATTATTGCTTCTGAATTTTTTAATGTCTTTTCTTCCATTCCTTTCTGAAGCTCATTTTGTGTGCCACTGTTCCAACTAAGATCCATAGCCTCTACCAAAATTTGCCTCTTCTTTTTGTTTTTCTAAACCAAATTAATATAATTTATACTTCATAATAGCATTCTAATTTTGAATAATAAAGAATATCAGAACTTAAGAAATAACTTCTATAACATTATAGACTTAGTAACAAACAAACATAAGAATGCAGATTGTTAGACATGAGGAACTGAAATATGCTAAAGTGAAGTTGGTTAGTTGCCTTATGATTATATTAATAAAAGCAAACTCTTACTGTAGTCTACATTTATGCTTTGGCTCTAATCAATCCTTTAACATGTTTTCTGCTAAAACTTCCATCATTGTGTTTATTTTTCTTTTTACTTTAGAATTTTTTTGTGTGTGCACTTACTAAATAGAAGCAGAAACTGCTAACTATATAAAAATTTATAGGTTATTTAGTTTAACTTTACCCTAGAAGCACATATCCCCTCCCTTTTTTAAAATTTTAAACATTACTAAATCTTCTTTGTCTTTGCAGTCTTGCCTTGGTCAGTAGTTTATTATGTTTTGCTTAAAAATACTATAAGTAGCTCATATCTGGCCTTCCGAATATTTGTCTGTCACTAACCTGAAATGTATCATTTAAATCTATAGGAATTATAAAAAGATAAGTCAAATCCTTCTCTCAAGTCTCCCCGAAGAATCAGTCCAAGGACTATTTCTTTTTGAAAATAAACCCCTACCACACTAGGAAAATGTAGCTTATTCCTTTAAATATTTCTAGTATTTTAAAATACTACATATTATGTAATTTTATGTAAATATATATGAGTCTGGTAAAGAATCTGCCTGCAATGCAGGAGACCCTAGTTTAATTCCTGGTCAGGAAGATCCCCTGCAGAAGGGAATGGTACCCAGTCTATCTAGTATTCTTGCTGGAAAATTCCATGGACAGAGGAGCCTGGCAGGCTACAGTCCATGGGGTCACAAAGAATTGGACATGACTAACTGACTGACACTTTCAAATATGTGTATAATATATATTATAATTATATATATATATAATTATAATAATAATGTGTATAATATATATTATGTATGATATAAAATGCAATATAGTCACATATGTAATATAATAAGATACACAGTAGATATACACAGGTCAATTGAAGGTTAAAAAAAAACAAAACTCCATACATTAATCTCTGTCAGAATTAAGAACAAAATCTGTATTTACTGGCTCTAAAACCCATCAAGAAAAAAGTGTTTTCTGATCAACATATGGCTTTTCTGAAGAAACTTAAGATATTTAGCAGCTTTGAAAATTCATGTAAAGGCTGGAAAATTCTAGATTTAATTCAACTTTTTAAAACTCTGGTTGGACATTGAGGTAAATAGGAAACTAACAGCAGAAATAAACGTTGCACTTATGTTCCACCAGAGAAAAAAGAAAAGGTATCAAACATGGTAGTCTGAGCTATACAACTTACTAGAAAGATGATTATCATGCTGATTCTCAATTTACTCATTTGTTAAAAGATAATAATAATGTTTACTACATAGGGATATTGTAGACATTAAATGAGATAAGTTTGGTGACTAAAGAAAGAAAGAAATGTATGCTAGTTCCAATTCCCTCGCTCTTCTTCCTTTCCCAGCCTTTTTTTCAATAAGAATCTTCAGTCAGTTAGTCAGTCAGTTCAGTTGTTCAGTCGTGTCCGACTCCTTGCGACCCCATGAATCGAAGCACGTCAGGACTCCCTATCCATCACCAACTCCCGGAGTTTACTCAAACTCCTGTCCATCGAGTTGGTAATGCCATCCAACCATCTCATCCTCTGTATTCCCCTTCTCCTCCTGCCCCTAATCTCTCCCAGCATCAGGGTCTTTTCCAATGAGTCAAGTCTTCGCATCAGGTGGCCAAAATATTGGAGCTTCAGCTTCAGCATCAGTCCTTCCAATGAATATCCAGGACTGATCTCCTTTAGGATGGACTGGCTGGATCTCCTTGCAGTCCAAGGGACTCTCAAGAGTCTTCTCCAACACCACAGTTCAAAAGCATCAATTCTTTGGCACTCGGCTTTCTTCACAGTCCAAATCTCACATCCATACATGACTAATGGAAAAGCCATAACCTTGATTAGATGGACCTTTGTTGGCAAAGGACTGTCTCTGCTTTTTAATATGCTGTCTAGTTTGGTCATAACTTTCCTTCTGAGGAGTAAGCATCTTTTAATTTCATGGCTGCAATCACCATCTGCAGTGATTTTGGAGCCCCAAAAATAAATTATCTCACTGTGTCCACTCTTTCCCCATCTATTTGCCTTGAAGTGATGGGACCAGATGCCATGATCTTAGTTTTCTGAATGTTGAGCTTTAAGCCAACTTTTTCACTCTCCTCTTTCACTTTCATCAAGAGGCTCTTCAGTTCCTCTTCACTTTCTGCCATAATGGTGGTGTCATCTGCATATCTGAGGTTATTGATATGTCTCCTGGCAATCTTGATTCCAGCTTGTGCTTCTTCCAGCCCAGCATTTCTGATGATGTACTCTGCATATAAGTTAAATAAGCCGGGTGACAATATACAGCCTTGGCGTACTCCTTTTCCTATTTGGAACCAGTTTGTTGTTCCATGGCCAGTTGTAACTGTTGCTTCCTGACCTCCATACAGATTTCTCAAGGGGCAGGCAGGTCAGGTGGTCTGGTATTCTCATCTCTTTCAGAATTTTTCACAGTTTATTGTGATCCACACAGTCAAAGGCTTTGACATAGTCAAAAAAGCAGACCTGGTGTTAGGATAAATTTGCATAATTCATTTAGGCGGGATTTCCATAAATTTTCTCTTTTTTTTTTTTTTTTTTTTACTTTGAGTAGCCAAATGAAATACAATTATTACTTTATTCATAAACATCCATTTATTTCCCAGTTTTGGCACAATGTTTTCTTTTTCTTAACTTTCCTTTCTTAATCTGTGGCCCTACTTCCCTCTCTCTTCACTTTTTACTAACAGGTTATGCTTGTCTATTGTTTCCTGATTTTCTAATTCCCTATCTTATGTTTTTAGTAATATGTGAATTGTTGAAAACGTCAATGGTGATTTGGACTCAAATGAACAGGCTCCTAATATACCTCATACAAAATATACACCCCCCCACACACAACTTTATTTATCATTTCAGAGGTCAGAGCCACCTTCAAGCTTACGTTTGGATGCCCTGATATGCCAGACACCCCGAGTTAACAATGCTATTCATGGATGATTTTTCAACATTAGAAGTTCTTTTACAGATACAAGACTCTGAATCAGGGAAAATTAATTATGCTTTTTCTTATAAGTTGAATGAACCTGATATTTTATCATATCACCTGTGTGCTACATATCTCATCGATAAAATGAGATGGATCGTACATTTGGCGTGTGTATTTTTTTAGCTCCAATTGTAAAAGATTTCATAGTTCCAATTGCCAATGTTGTTACTTCGTAATTCTCTGCCATTCAGTAATATATCTTATCCTTCTATAAAAGTTTGAAATCCCATGCTTTGAGCTTTTAAGAATATTCTAGGGAGATATATTATTCAGAAAATGATTATGCTATTGTATCTTATGTTAGCAAGCTAGATACTAGACAGATAGGTAGTTACATCAATCATCAAAACAGGGAAGCAGAGAATTAATAATTGCAATATTCTAAAAATCCTTAAAATATTCTATTGAGATTAAGTACTTTACATATATTTTCTAATTTGAGCTGCATAAAATTTTTGTGTGGTAGTATAATTTGATTTTATAAAAAAATTAAACTTCAGAGAAATTGACATTCCTACAGTCGTATAGGCATTATTCAGTAAGTGGAAGATTTGGGAATCAGAACTATCACCCATCAATAATAGTAAAACATTGGCTGTAATGTTTAGTTTTAACACAGAATTTTTCAGTCAATCTTTGCTACAAAAACAGCATCTAATTACCTGAGGTGGAAGTAGCGGCAGTCTTATGAAGGCCAGAAGCATACTCAAGTCATTGCATCTCCTCTGCATGTCATATTTGACCCACATCATTAATGCATGGAAGATGGTTTCTTCATCAGGAACATTGACATCATCACTGGCCAGGAGTTTATGGAGCTCCTCAGCTGGAAGCAGTAGAAACTCTTGATTTCTTATAACTTCCATTATGTTTTCCTAGAGGGAGAGAAACAGTTTGGCATAAATTTGGCCTCAGTTTTATTTAGCTAGCAAAGCCTCCCAGAAAGAAATGAGAAAAGTAGTCAATAATCTTTGTTTTCATTATAACATAATCCTTGAGATGTAATGCTTCAGCAGCTAGAAGCTGTTAAGATGAAAGCATTGTAACTGTAATTGACGTGTAAATGTATCCAAGAGAGCACAGATCTTGTAATAACCGGAGGATTATAACATTGAGCTTTGTTATGCAGGCAGAATGTACTAAGTGATTAAGTGTTCAAGTTTCAAGTGGACTGCTATGTAAGATTTGATGAATATGGAAAAAATAGCATTTCAACTTATTAAAAGCTTGACTATGTATACATCAATCAGAAAGTGGGAATAAAATTACACAGATCTAACACTGTAAGATGCATCACTGCTTATTCAAAAGGGAAAAAAAGAGAACATAGAAAGTCACAAGATCCCATGTATTTCACCTTCTTAATAGCTCTCAAACCTCTCTCCTGACAGTTTCTCTGACTTAATTTAGATTCCCATTTATTTTCTTGCAGATTGCTGCCATACCCCCTAATGACTCTGACTCTATCCTCAGCTTCTCTAGTGGTCCCACTGTGCTGTTGTGAGAAGGATATTTCTAAAACATAAATGTGCTCTGGACACTATTCTAAAGTTTCGCTGTGTTTTGCTTTTTTGTTTTCCTTCTTTTGGTTCAAATCTTTTGGTTAAGCATATTGATTCTTTATGACCTGACCTCTTCCTGATTCTAAATATGTTGCCAAACTTACTGGCACTTCTGCCACAAAATTACTCATTAGATTTACCTTAGTCTCACTCCATTGCTTAAAATGGCTATCAGCCACCTTTGTTGTCCTAATTGCTTTCATTTTTCAAGACTCAGTTCAAAAACTAAATATGGATATGCATATATGTATATATGTATATGGATATGGGTAGGTATGTATAGGTATATATAAATATGTATATGTATATGTATATATATATGGATATGGATATCTCTCTCTATATATATATATAGATATAGATAGATAGATAGATAGATAGATAGATAGATATAGATATAGATATAGATATATATCAAGAGCTCTCTGTTCACTCCCATTTGATCTGGCTGCCCTATCTTATATGCATGAACAGTGCATGGTACATGACATATCAGTTACCAAAGTGTTGTATAATCTTTGGTGTACTTAGGGATCTTATCACCAACTTTGAGCTCCTTGAGACAAAGACTTTGAATTAACATTTTATATCTAGATTCTGGAACATAGCCAGTGAACAGTACAGATTTATTGAATAGATATATTTGTGATCTTAGAGAAAATAAATTTTGAGATAGTGAACTTCAGTGCAGTGTTTTTCAAACACTTTTTAAAAGCTACTTTTTGAAAATCTTACATTTAATCATAGTGTCTTATGTGTCTAATAAATGGTAAGAGAAGACAGAGATTTGACTGTTGGCCTTTACTTTTGTTCCACATTCCTCCCTGTCTCCTGAGACAACCCCAAGAAGATAACTACAACTTCTCAGATGATAGTTTTAAAGCTGCAAAGGTGGCAGAAATCTCGATAGGATTATTGTTTTAATGTAAAACCTGAAGCAGTGGCACTTCTCTTCCCCCAAAACCGTAAAGACTTGGTGTCCTGCTAAAACATGGCAGAAGAGGTAGCAAGTGCTCATTCATCTGTTTGTCAGAGCAGATTCAAACCTGTTTGCTGAAGACCTGACCCATGTTGTGAATGTATTTTAGAATCAAATCCGAGGTTGGAAGGGCCTTCAGCTTTCACAAAAGCAAATCACCTTTTACTTTCAAGTCTTTAGCTGTTTTTTCTTATGTTTGACCTCACAGAATAGATGATTTCATGAAGTAATTTTGCTCCCTGTGTTTCCTGTGTGCCTAATACAATACTGTGAAAATTCAAAAACCTTTATAGTCAAAGCCATGTTTTTTTCCCGTACTAGTAGTAATGTTAGTGGCTTGATTGTGGCTGACTCTTTGCAATCCTGTGGACTGTAGCCTACCAGGCTCCTCAATCTGTGGGATTCTCCAGGCAAGAATACAGGAGTGGGTTGCATTCAGAGGTGAGAACTGGACTATAAAGAAGGCTGAGAGCTGAAGAACTGATGTTTCTGAAATGTGGTGCTGAAGAAGACTCTTGAGACTTCCTTGGACAGCAAGGAGATCAAACCAGTCAATCCTAAAGGAAATCAACTCTGAATATTCATTGGAAGAAATGATGCTAAAGCAGAAGCATATTTTGGCCATCTGATGTTAAGAGTTGACTTATTGGAAAAGACTCTGAAGCTGGGAAAGATTGAGGATAGAAAGAAAAGGGGATGATAGAGGATGAGATGATCCAATGGCATCATTGACTTGATGGACATGAGCTTAAGCAAACTCTGGCAAATAGTGAAGGATAGGTAAGTCTGGCATACTGCAGTCTGTGGGGTTGCAAAGAGTCAGACACAACTGAGCAAGTGAACAACAGCAACAAAATAGAACTCGCCCGCCAATGCAGGAGGCATAAGAGATAAGGGTTTGATTCTTGGGTCAAGAAGATCCCTGGAGGAGGGCAAAGGACCCACTCCAGTATTGTCACTTGGAGAATCCCATAGGCAGAAGAGTCTGGCAGGCTATAGTTGCAAAGAGTCAGAAATGACACACGTATGTATGTACGATACCTATTTACTAAATGAGCCAACAGTATGCTTTGAAATTTAGTGTCACCAAATTTCTCTAAAGAACTGCAATAAAATAATTTCTGAAAAACCTTTGAAAGACTTTTGTTCATCTATTATTCCAGTTACTCAAAAATCTATGCCTCTTTTAAACTACATGTGGAATTGTATAGCTAGACCATCAGTATATAGTGAGGGGTACCATAAAATCAGCTCTGTGAAAATTTTAGCAGTGCCTATCATAAAGATATTGTTCAAGGATTTCATTTTATTTTATGGTGTACTCTTATGATGACCCTTGGGAGAAATTTCTTTCGGAATTTAGTAGCAGGGATAACTGCACTTCTCCTGTGTAAATTGCTTTGCGTTTATCATGGATGTTGTAAATTATGAAATTGATCAGATTCATCTTTTTATTTGGCTTCTAGAAAACTTTGAACCAAATTGAAACCTAGCAGAGAGCAAGGCTATAGCCTTTTATGGTTTGATTTCTTTTTCAGATAGCTCTGGTAATAGCATTATTTAATATTACTACAGCAGATTTTTTTTCTTCTTTTTTTCATACATCTAATCTAGATTGCATTCTATAATTTTATATCTGTATAAATTATACTATATCTTTAGGAAATAAGAAATATTGTTTTTAAATATTGCTATAAATAAACTATACATTGGAAGATAATATATGATATTACTGAATTCATCACACTGACACATAGATTATATTGTTTTTTATATTGTTTTTTATTTTTCATTATATATATTGGCTTTCTGAAGTTCTCTTAGATCTTTTTTCTTTTTTTTATCCATCAGGTCTCCTTCCAATGATATCTTGCCTAATATTTCCTGTGTTATTTGCAATCTAGCTTCTAGAATCTAATAATTTAAGTGTTATTATTTTTTATTCACTAAAGAAGAAAAATATCTTTTCACACTAGTTTCCTTACATCTTAGCTAACTCTGTGTTACCTGAGAAGATCAAGTAATGAGAGACATCAGTACATTTTGAGCTGTTTATTTTTTTGTGCATTACTTTTATCATAAGTTCGTTCAATCATTCATTCTACACAGATTTATTAAATACCTAACATTTATTCCTGGATAATTGTAGTGAGGAAAATGAAATGAATTTTCATCAAATGTTTACCACACATGGGACAGCTAGACAATGTGCAAAGCATGGGAAATGACTGTCCTCAAGTCTGTAAAAGTTGTTTTTCAAAAAGACCTGGAATATTAGGTAGGAGCATAAATTAGAAAGTGAGAAACAGAAAGAAATGTATTCTGACCAGGGGAGACCATATAAACAAAGGCATACTAACACATAGATAAAGGAGCAGAGGTAAGTCAAGCTGCCAAAAGCTAAGGATTGCCAGAACCACCAGGAGTTGGAAAAGGCAAGGAAAGATTTTTCCTAAACTTCAGAGAGAGTCTGGCCTTGCCAGCATCTGGATTTCAGACTTTTAGTCTCTAGAATTGCAAGAGAATACATTTTCATTATTTGAAACTACCCAGTTTTTGGTACTTTGTTATGGAAGCCCTAGGAAAATAACATATAAGAGAAATTCTAAAAATAATTATGTTATAAGCTCTCACATAAACCTAACAAAACATGGCAATTATTACCAATCTTTTGAATGATCAATTATAAACTCTTTATTTTATGGAATAATATCTTTAAGAGATATCAGTTTCCTAGGGGGAAGATCTAACTAGACATTTCTCCAAAGAAGACATATGAAGAGCCAAAACACACACAAAAAGATGCTCAATATCACTCATTATTAGATAGATGCAAATTAAAACTATAATGAGTTGTCACTTCACACTGGTCAGAATGACCACCCTAAAAACAAAACAAACAAACAAAAAACTACACACAATGAATGCTGGAGAGGATGTGGAGAAAAGGGAATCCTCCTAAACTGTAGACAGGAATGTAGATTGGTACATCCACTATGAAGAACAGTATGGAGTTTCCTTTAAAAAACTAAAAATACAACTACCATGTGATCCAGCAATCCCACTCCTGGGCATTTACCCAGAGAAAACAAGAAGTCAAGAGTGCACCACACTCTACATTGCAGCATTATTGACAATAGCCATGACATGGAAGCAATCTAAATACCCACCAACAGAGAAATGGACAAAAAGACATGGTACATATATGCAATGGGTAATATTAATATTAATTTGGCCCATAGAAAGGACCAGAATAGTGACATTTGGAGAGATGTGGATGGCCCTAGAGATTCTCATACAGAGTGAAGTAAGGTAGAGAAAAATATCATGAAAT